ATGCTGTGAGGAAGACCCTCCAGCCTGAGCTGAGTACCAGAGCAGGCGGGATCGTGGGGGCACGGTGCACAGTCCACGCGGTGTGCCTTTCATTGTAATCATAAACTGCCAATTTATTTTGACTTTTGTTGCTTCAGCTCAATAAAGTGGGTCAGTACCAATTAAAGTTAATTTATAATGATAAGTCTATAAGACAGAAAGGCAACTCTTTGCTAATGTATTTGCCAGAATCTGACACCCCAGGAGAGTTCTAATTTGCTGTCACTGCAGTTATCACTTTTGCATGAATATTAATGATCTGCTTTATAAGTAAAATGTGGCATATTGGGCTTCCGGAAAAGGTTGACTTCATTTTCTCTGTCTGCCGCTCCTCCACGTTTGTGAGTACAGAGAATGAGAAGCTCTCGGTGCTGAAATGGAGCATCGGGCCATCTGCAGAGTAAAGGAGTGAGCAAATTGAGGTGTGGTCAAAGGAAAGGGCGAAGTGGAGGATTTCAATACTCTAGAGAGACTAAGCCCGAGAGCTGCCTGGGGGCCCGCTGGTCCTTTTGACTGTGCAACGCCTTACCTTCCACCCTGCCCCCCAACTCCTTATAACTGCACATAGCAATTGAGTTCCCTCCTTCATGTTCTAAAATTCTTTATGCTTAAAAAAGGAAAAGAATCTTGTGAAGTCTCAATAATGGTGCCTGGAGAAAGGACCCCGGCTTGTGTCCTCATTTTTCTCTCTGGCTTCCTGCGTGCAGCTCTCCTCCCCCACCCCACACCCCCACCATCCACACAGGCTCACCCATGAATTAGGCCGAACTTCTGCTCTTGATGGTACTGGAAATGTGTTTGTGAGGGAATAAATGAGTGTGTCCATTCCTTAAAACACTCGGTCCCCTATAGTAACACCGTTGACCCCACTGGGCAGCCTAGAGAGCAGTGATGAAGAGTTGGGGTAGTGTGCACGATGCCCATGAGGTGTGGGAACCAGTGGCTGTTGCATTGATTCCGGAGGGGAGCTGCTGCTCAGAGTTCTCAGGGGGCGGCCTTGTCAGAGGTAGATTGCCAGGCCTTTCTTCCACAGAGCCGAGGGCCTCCAGCCTTACTGTTAAAAGCCAGATGTGTTCACTGTATGCAAAACTTTAAGACAAGGTGGGCGCTATGGTGGTTATAGTCTAGAGTGTGTTGCGCTGCTGACCAAAAGGCTGCATGTCTTTACCAGTTCAAATCCTGAAAACCTGACAGAGAGTGACTAAGAGTCGGACCAACACAATGAGGTTTTTAAAGGACAAAGCTGAGGAGGAAATGTTAAAGTCTTCACTTCATTATTAAATATTCATCACATTTATTGACAAATTTCTTCTTTATTAGTCATGCTTATGCTCAAAAAGCTCATTGCTGTCAAATTGGAACTGAATCCTGGCTGACCCCTAGCCCACCCCTAAGTGGGTTTTCTGAGGTTGTAAATTACAGGGGAGGAGTTGCCCATCTTTCTCAGCTGGTGAATTCGAACTGTCTACCTTTGGGTTGGGTTCCTTTCCTCTAAGCCACTAGAAGACGCCTTTGGTGTGCATAGTGTTTGGAAAATATGTGCATGTCCACACATGGAGTGCTTGGAAAACTTGCTCAGTGAACCAGTGGTGGTTCTAACTGGGTAAAGGTTAACTGGGGAGGAGATTTCCCCTAAAGGCTTGAAACTACTGGAAATTCATTCATTCTGAAGGTGACTTTTCTGGTTTATCCTTTGTTTCATCTTTTACTTAGTTTTGAAGTATCCGATGAGGCAGAAATTGAAAATGAGCAAGGTTAGAGCTTAATTTTATCCTTTAGAAGGACATGAGGAAATTGATGAAGCAGAGAAAGCTGGCTGGCACAGGTCTGTTTAAATGAAACTTACGAGCTTCAGGTTCACTCTTCACAGGCGTCAGAGATGCTTGAGGTGACGAATGGCCATTGCTCTGTGGCCTCAGGTATTTCTACAGGACACTGTGGATCCTCCAGGCAGGTCTCCAGCCTAAGGGGATGCTGCCTTAGAGTGTGTGACCCCAGGATGCCCACAGCCTGTCCCCACTAGCATCCCTTCACCCTCATAGTGAAAACCCAACCCCGAACACTCAACCACCTTTACTGCTGGTGACAGTTGTTTGGCTGAAGGGTGACATTTGGAGCCCATTCCCTCAAGACTGTGCCAGGCACAGTGCTGCATTCTTTAAAAACCAGAACTCACCTTTTCTTCACCGTCATTAGAGATGGGTGTTGTTATCAGCCCCATTTCATGATGCAGATCGTTACGCCTTGCATGGGGACACACATGCTCCTCTTCCCATGAGGATGGTGTCCAGCTCTGCGGGGCAGGAAAGTACACAGTAGGTTTGCCAGTCAGGATCCAGGCCTTTCTAAAAATACCCAAAGAATATCCTTTAGGCTGGCTTCCACCTTCTGTGTGTTAAGTCCCCCACTGCCGTGTGGCTTTAAGACCCAGCAGAGATGATGGCACAGGATAGGGCAGTCTTTCATACATGAGGTTCCTGTGAATCAGTGGCACCAAACAAGAACAATTCTAAGACTGCAGTTAAACCTGCACCCATTTCAAAGAAGAAAAAAATAGAGGCCAAGGAGCTTGTCCCTTGGCGAGTGAGAACCCGGTGAGAGCCCAGGTCTGCCCTGCGTATGGTGGTGGACAGAGCTCAGTGTGGCAGGTCTCTTCCGGCCTGTCCACCCCTGCCCCACTTGGGGCAGACACTGCACGGTCCCCAGGCCACAACACACAGCCTTCTGCGTCAGAACCACCCTGAAGGTTGATCCGCTCCAGGCGTCATTAATGCTTAGCTGGTCTGAGGTTCCTGTGCTTTTTCCCCCAGTTGTAAATGTTGCGTGGTTCTTGGTATTCACGTTAACAAATTAGCCCAATTAGATGGGAAAATTAGTCATTCTAACTTTCTGAAGTCCTGCTGGAGAAGCTTTGTGAAATAGCATTTATGGTTTTCTAACAAGCAATTTAAAGGACACCAGCATGTGGCATTTGTTTAAGAGTAAAGGGTCCTGACAGCGCCCTACTTAAAAACAGATCCCCAGATTTGCTGGCGGCGACGGGGAGGCGCAGGCCCAGCACCCGCCCGACTGCAGGAGTGTTTCCAACTGGACACGGGCCACGGAGGGGCTGCAGGCGTGCCCACCGGCTCCCCAGTCCCGAGTGCCCTTTTGCCAAATTATTTTTTGCAGCACCAGAGAGTGAACTGTTGTGACTCCACCAAGTGAGAGATGGTGGGAGAGGCAGCTTGGCTGGAGGGTTAGGGACCTTGGGGGCACTTGTGAACAAGATGGTGACCCTGGATAGCCGATCAGTGACGTGCATGGCCCTTGACCCACCCAGGGGCAGTTTTCTTGTGTGACTAAGAGTAACAGAGTTCCTCACCCCAGGAACATTCCTGGGGCATTAAGTGAGAGAAAGCATCAAATGTCCCTGAAACATAAGGGGCGCAGTCAGCAGAGGGCCTGCCTTCCAACCTGCATTCCCTTCACGTTTACCCCCAGATGCCAGTGTCCCTGTTCCTAGCCCAACTGGATTTTCAAACAATCTTATTAATGCCTATTAAAATGAAACCCAATAAAAGTGCCAATATTTGGTGTTGAAATAATTGATGCAGGCAAGCCAGCCCACGGAGCACCCAAGCAGGCTCCGCACAATGAGCCTCACACCTGGGGGACGAATTTCACAACTATAATTGCTACCATATAATTCTTATTAATGTTGTGCTATAATTCCTATTTATTCCATGGGGCTTGTAAATGCATTAGGACTTGTCAACATATTATTTTACACTGTTTATGATCTGTAGAATTATGTCCTTCAGGCCCGTATTGTGCGAAAGCTCCCATAACTGGCTTTGGGCCTCATTAAATAGAGCAAAATGGGGCGAGAGGTTGAGGTGTTCTCTGTCCCTGGCCTTCTGATCTGGGCTTGGAGGCTTCATTCAGCTCTGCGCCAGGCCCGCGACCTTCATGAGCAGAGGGAGGCTGGCCCTAGCAGCCGGGGGCTGTGGAGTCGGCCCTGGGGGTGCCAGTCGTCTGGGGCGTGTGAGGAGGAGTTGTTTTGTCTGTGATGAGCCAGATCTGCATTTTTTAAAAATAATTTTTATGTTAATTAAAGTTTACAGAAAGATTGGATTTTCACTCATTCCCTATTGCACATTTTCCTCCCCAGTGCACTTTCTTTTTTAAAAAATATTCATTTACTATTGCATAGATTCTCCCCTTCCCCCAAGCCCTCTTATTTTGGACTGTTGTCTTACATAAAATACCTAATCATAAATTCCTTTTAAACAGTTCTCTCTCTCTCATCCGTTCTAATTCACATTACATCTCCACTCTTCTAGTCTCCTGCCAACCTCCCAAGTCAGTCCTGCTTTATGACAGGTGTTATGCAGTATTTGTCCTTTTGAGACTGAGACATTTCACTCAGCATAATGTCCTCCTATGGTATATTCAGACCTGCATTTTGACAGCTTGTCCTTGGAGCTCCGGGTTGCTGCCCCTTGTGCCCCACTTTGGAGCAAGCCCTCTTAGTTCCAGACACCTACATAGTCTCCCCAGCTCAGCCTATAAAGAAAAAGACCTGAAACTCGTTCCCACTGAAATGTGAACGTCTGGTGACCAATGGCATGGCTTCACGCTGAGATCTGTGCATTGGCCATGTGGACAGGAAGTCAGGGAATGGGGTGAGTTGGGCCGCTGGCCTCGGGCCTCAAGCCCATGTGTGGGGAGTATCTGCTGGTAAATGGTGGTTTTAGTCTGCTTCTTCCAAGTGCCTTGATAGTCTGAGTTCAAATTCAAGTTCTTGCCTTACTTTCTTATGGGGATGTGCAGGTATCTCAGGGCCAGTCTTAGGGGATGACTGTGAGGTTCCTTTGCACCTCGGACACACTCCCTGGAGGCCACAGCAGCCGTATGGCCTCCTGCCCATGGCCCGAGGAGGTGACTTCTGATGGATGTGGTGTCCTCTGCTCCCGTAGGCAGCGAGTATGATGAGGAGGAAGTGGACTATGAGGAGTCGGACAGCGACGAGTCCTGGACCACTGAGAGCGCCATCAGCTCCGAAGCCATCCTCAGCTCCATGTGCATGAATGGAGGGGAGGAGAAGCCTTTTGCTTGCCCGGTTCCAGGATGTAAAAAGCGCTACAAGGTAAGAGACACCGCCTCCTGGGGCACCACCTCACACAGAGAGCATGTGGAGAGGTCCAGGCAGCAGGACTTGGGCAGGCGTCCCCTCCTGTCTGTGGCCCTGGGTTCAGGGTATTTCCTCCTCCTACACTCCACATAGGAGCCACGAGTCAAAGTGATCGTTCATTGGAGGGCCACATCTTGATGTTCTCCACTCATGTTAGGTCAGGGAACCCTTGATCAGCATGCGTGTCACCTGGTGATTTGCCAAGCCCCTTCCTCAGCTTCTGGCTCTGCGGGTGGAGTCACAGACTACTTGGAGCCGGGGGAGCTCTCCACGCCCTTTTGGGTGTTTAGCTCCTGCTAAAGAAGGTCTTGCTCACCCCTCCCCTGACTCCCCACCCCCCAGCATGACAAGGACATGGGAGGTGAGGGTTTGCATGTCCTTATAGATGTCATGGAGCCAGGGGCTCAGGGACTCTGACTCCGGGTGTCAGAGCACCCCGGGCACCATACATTCTACATTCTATCATGAAAAAGCAAGAGGACAAAATAAGAGGTGCCCAGAGCATTCATAGGGGACCCCAGGAGGCCACCTGAAACAGAACCGATCTGGAGACTTTCTCCTGCGGTGCCAGCCACTCTTTAAAGCCCAGCCGCAGTGTAGAAACAGAAATATGAAAACCAGCAACTTACCTGGGGCATTTGACGGTGTGCTGATTTACCACAGCTCAACAGAGGGACTGAGGGATAGGCACTTCTTCGAGGGCTCCCTGTGAAATATGTCTCTGACATAAAGACTTCTCGCGGTACTTTTTATGTCTGCTTCTGACAAACAGCTTGAACACAAACCTATCACGGGAGGACGTGTCCAAGCCTCTACCTGCACCACATACTGTTGGAACCATAGCGTGGGAAGCCCAGGTGCTGCTTGTTCAGACTCACGTGAGACCCCAGAACTGAGCTGTGCAGACTCTCACGGACTCAGGGGCTGCGAGGAGGATGGGACACAGTGCACTCGGTGCCTCCTCTTGGCCTGCCTGTCAGAAGGCCTGGCAGCAGAAGAGCAGAGGACAAAATGAAATAGAAGGCCTTGTTAACAAATGCAGCTCCTCAAAGGACATCTCGGCCTTCTTTTTTAAATTAGGAAAATTGAGGCAGAGAACACAGTGAGCACCCTCCCTGCCCGACCTGTCCCTGGTGCCAAGTCTCCCGGCTCCTTCCCGCTGCAGTTTCTCAGCACCCTGTGGTGGTGAAAGGGTAGCGGAGAAGTTGTTGTTAGGTGCCATGGGACTGACCACCACTCATAGTAAAAGCTCTGAACTTCGCCTATCCTGTGCCGTCCTCCCATCTCTGCCTTGTTCACGCCCACTGCGAGTCACCGTGTCAGTACGTTTCATTCAGTGTCTTCCTCTCCTCCTCTGACCCTTCATCCTCTCCAGCAGGATGACCTTTCCCAAGAACTAGTCCTCCTGACAACATGCCCAAAGTACGTAAGACAAGATTTCACCATCCTTGCCTCTAAGGAGCACCCTGTTTGTACTTCCTCCAAGACAGATTTGTTTATTCTTTTGGCAATTCATGTAATACTCAATACGTTGACCAGAGCCTCAGTTCAAGGGCAGGAATTCTTTGGTCTTCCTTTTTCATTATCCAACTTTCACATGCATTGAAATGACTTGAGGCTGGTACACCTTAGTCTTTAAAATGGGATCCTTGCTCATTAGCACTTTTAAGAGGTATACATTGACTACAGTAAAAGAGGAAGTAATGATTTTCTCCCCAAAAGTAAACATGAGCTTCCAAATAACTGGGCATAAATACGTAATATGTTGCCATTAAGTTGGCCCTTCTCACACTGGCTGTCCAGCGGTTTCTGAAGTCTGTAAGTCACACGGGAGAGTGTCCAGTTTTCTTTCATGGAGATGCTGATGGGTTTGAACCACCAGAGAGATGCTGCCTTTGCCCTGCCTCATAGAGACTACACCACAGATCTCCCTCATAAGGTATTGGGATATAATACTGAGTTGGAACCAATTCATAGTTGATTCTTCGGCGGGTTTTCAGAGGCAGTAAATCGCATTGGAGACTGCCCATTTTTCTCCTGAGGGGCAGTTGGTAGGTTCAAACCACATGCCTTTCGGATTTCAGTAAAACTTCTTACCACTAGACCACAGAACTCCCTCCTAAGGTTGTGTGTCTTGAGTCATAGTGGCCCTGTGCACAATAGCTCTGAGCCCTGTCCTGTCCTGAGCCAGTCTCGTTAATTCTGACACACTGTTAAATGATCCAGGAAGTATTAAAAGAAGATGGAAAGAATATACTGAGTCACTGTATCGAAAGGAATTGGAAGACACAGAAGAATTTCGTGAAACAACATATGAGCAAGAGCCTATGGTGATGAAAGAAGAAGTTGAGGCTGCTTTGAAGGGTATGGCAAAAAATGAGGCTGCAGGAATAGATGGTATACCAATTGACAAATTTCAGTTAACAGATGCTGCCCTGGACGTGCTTAACAAATTGTGCGAAGAAATCTGGAGAACAACCATTTGGCCAACTGACTGGAAGAGATCGGTGTTTGTTCCTATCCCAAAGAAAGGTGACCCAATCGAATGTGGAAATTACAGAACAATCTCACTGATTTAACAGGCAAGCAGGATTTTACTGAAGATTATCCAAACACGACTGGAACAGCACATCAACAGAGAACTACCAGAAGTCCAGGTTGGGTTTAGAAGGGGTCGTTGTT